TTCTTCCTGTTAAAAGGGAGTTTTTCCTTCCCACTGTCGCCAAAGTGCTTGCTCATAGGGGGTCATATGATTGTTGGGTTTTTCTCTGTATCTATTATTGTACGATCTACTGTACGATATAAAGCGCCTTGAGGCGACTGTTGTTGTGATTTGGCGCTGTGTAAATAAAATTGAATTGAACTGAAAATAATAGTTTAATGTTTAGTATTTAATGTCTTGACCGCTACAGCACACAATTTTCTCAACTTTGGGATGTATGAATAAATAAATTTGATCACAGTATGGTGACATATCTCAGAAAAAATCTGAGAAAGGTGAACAAAGAGAGGACAAAAGACGTGCAGTCATCTGTAAAAACACATGTGAAGGCTCTCTCAAGATTTGGGACTACATTCAGCCAGTGGTGTTAGAGATCTTGTCAGAATTGATGGATTTATGAACACATGAAGTGCCAGCAAATTTTGGTCCACTATGCAATATCATCAGCAGATCTATGGCAGCTTCATTTTTCAGGAGAAGGAAAAGAAAGAAAATCAAACAGTGGAACACTATCAGTCATGGATTGGCCTCCCCAGAGCCCAGACTTCAACATTACTGAAGCAGTGGGGGATCATCCTGACAGAGAACAGACCAAAAGGCAGCCAACATCCAAACAAACCTAGAGAACTTCTCGTGAAGTCTACATAACGGCATGAAAGCCCGAATGCTGCAAGTGAGTTCAGGCTGCGTTGATGATATAATATCATAGGCATAATATAATATGAATAATATATGTTAATGGAAAATTTTGACTTTTACATTTGTTAGAATTGTACATTGTACACTTTGTTTACTTATATATAGGTTTTTACCAATCATGGTTTTTGCCAGGCCAATATTGTAAATAAGAATCTGTTTTTATTGGTGTCCCTGGTTAAATAAGGGTTGCATTGACTCACTGCACCATCTTGTGGTACAAACTGGCATGATAAGAAGACGCAGACCAGTACTTGATTTGATATCTTTTAAACACAATACATATTTTGAGTGAGAGAGAGAGAGCACTGGATATGAAACAGTGGATATGACTGAAGCATACGAGGATATCCAGAATTTTAGTAGGATCAAAAATAACCCAGGCCACAAGGACTTCATTTCATCATCATTTTTATCTGACATTAAATCTACTCAATAGTAGACTTGTTTAATTTTAGCTCGGTCTCTCATCAAGACTTTAATAATTTATGTTCTTATTTCATTTCTGTCTTCGTGATTTGTGTGACTAGTCATTGCACTGCAAACTTCCACCTCCCATCTTTCGTTCATTTTGTTTAGCCTCAGATTCCCATGCAGCTTTAAGGGCACCTAGCCCCGTGTGAACCATTTCAGCACAGAGTCTGCTCTTTCTTTGTTGCAGATTAAGGTTGAAACAAGTATGACATAGGACTAATGTGAGTCAATATAATAAGAAGGCCGCCTCAGTGTCAACTATATACATTTAAATTTGTGTAACATACTGGGATATTTATAATTAGAGCCATTTTGTCATATTTTGTAACTGGCAACTGTGACCACATCATTTCTTCTGGGATTAATGAAGTATTCTGATGATTCATCTTACATGAAGATAAAGACAAACATTCCCTACTATTTATGACCTGAGCTGTATATTTCTTAAAAATCCAACAAACCAATTGACCTGATGGATTATTCAGCCTTGGAGATACTGAGATAAAGACATACTTCATCCAGTAACACTCACACTTGTTTGCAATCCACCCAATAACCAAACTAGTGACTACTGTATGGTTAATTCATTTTATTCAGTTTATGAGTAACAATGCATGTATTTGATATCTGAATATCTGAATATTAATTGCAATTGAAGTGTTACACAGGCTCATATATGAAAAGAGTATTGCAGGAATCACACGTCTCTGTGTATGAGACAATGATCTATAAAAAATATATATACTTAAATATTAAGCTATACAGTTAATTAGATACAGAATATGTTCGCATTGCAAATAGAAACCTGAATAGATTCCTACTGTTCAGGTACGCACAAAATAAAAATAAAAACATTTAGCTGTTGTTCAAAAGTCCTTTCACTGTCCTGGACCCAAGGAGAATGTGAGGTATCACGATGTGGGGCGATCGTGGCTCAAGAGTTGGGCGTTCGCCTTGTAATCGGAAGGTTGCCGGTTTGAGCCCCGGCTCGGACAGTCTCAGTCGTTGTGTCCTTGGGCGAGACACTTCACCTGTTGCCTACTGGTGGTGGTCAGAGGGCCAGTGTTCGGCAGCCTCGCCTCTGTCAGTGCGCCCCAGGGTGGCTGTGGCTACAATGTAGCTTGCCATCACCAGTGTGTGAATGCTTGTGTGAATGGGTGCATGACTGGATGTGTAGACGCTTTGGGGTCCTTAGGGACTAGTAAAGCGCTATACAAATACAGGCCATTTACCATTTACAAACGATGTGCTTTAACGTATGCTCTGCTGGTCATAACGTCTGAATTACTCCAATCAAAATGCATCCAGAAACATAGAGAATATTCCCCTGTGGAAAATGGATATCCTCTGTCCAACCATTGAAGAACTGGATAGGAGGAATGGGCCTAAAGAAATTGAGGTCACAGTGCTGGCCCATCTTGACTATGGATTCCTTCCACTGAAAGCTTTACTCAGCGTTTAACACCGCAGCAAAGCTTTAAAAGGTTTGGATCACCCTGCTTCCCAGCCGGACAATCAGAGTGGTCCTTCTTGTCATCTGCCAGACTGTACTCCTCGGTCCGGTGCGCCTTCCACCCGAGAATCATCAGCAGGACGATGCCCATGACCTTATAACCCACCTGTAAGCCCAGATACCTGCAGGGAGTCAGATAAGTAATAAATGCATGGCTCAGATTTAGATGAACTGCACACCTGTTTGATATGTATAGACCAGTCCGAGGTGGACAACAAAATCCAAAAGAAAACCAGCAAAATTCTATCACTAAATTTTAAAAAAAGTCTTTTTGTGCCACTGGATGGACAATATTCTAGTAAAGAGCATCGTTTACAAAATGAGGGTATGAATCTTGTAGGTCACTGCCTGATTGGTTCAAGGGTTCTCCCTTTCTCCCACCTGATCCCCTCAGAATTTTGACACAGATGGAATCACATCTAGAAAATGAGCCTGATATCAAAAAGTAGCTAAAAACAGGAAACCTTTCATAGGGTAAAATCTGTTCTGAGCATCCAACCATCCCACTGGGTGATATGAGCCTTAAAAAATAACCCAGAATGCACTTTATGATGTTTTCTCCAGTGAATTATCGGAAAAGAAATCAAACATTCAGGATTTCAGCGCTTGCTTCTATTACTCTACAGCACAGACATTATACCGGTGCAGTTTACTGACATGATAATGATATCATGCTGATGCTCATAGTAGGCTGAATTTTTTTAATGTTTCTTTTAGGCTCTCTTTGGTGTCGACTCTGTTTTACACAGTGGACACAAAGACATCACAAACGTCACTTTCTGCCACCAGTTCAGCTCTGACCACAAAACACAACCTTTGATAACAGTACAAAAAAGTCTGTTCTGAGTGATAAATGTTCTCACCGGTTCCTCAACATGTTGTTGTCATAGTAACCACAGCTAAACTTCTTTTCGCATACAGTTCTCCACCTGAGGCACGATGTGTCGATGGCCATCCCAAAGAGAGCAGGGGCCGGGAGCCAAGCTGAGATGGAAAAAGAGGTCGGGGTTAGCAGGGGTGGCAGCTGGAGTTACTCCCATCATCACAGTGCACCTTTTTTCTACCCATAAAATGGCAAATGTGACCTTGATCTTGACAAATGTTTGAGTGAAGACCCATTTGGTGGTCAGTCTATGTAAATTGGATTAAACTTTGACCAATATTATAGGAGGAGTAATGATTTTTGTGAATTCTAATGAATGGCAGAAGCCTCGCCGTGTCATACACTTATTGGTCCTTCAGCAAAATGAGCTTAAAATTAAATCAGAAAAGATTTTTAAAACACGGGTGATGAAATTAATACCACTTCCTACTTATTTATGATTTATTAATTTCTTAAAAATTTGCACCATTTGTTAGTTTACTTATATAGCTGGCATAGTTTATTCCTGGGTTCTTTATACAACCATGACCACTGTAGTTTTTATAGAGCCTATATAGGGTCTTGGAGGTTATCTTGGACTTTGGGGGCAAATGAACATAAAGAAATGTATCATTAACACTATAATTTGTGTTTTAATTCAATATTGCACCATTTTCTTCCCTATAAACTACAAATGTTTCTGGAGCATCAGCCTCTTTAGTAATACGGTAATCCTGTCTTACCTAGCAGTCTCATGAGTAGAAACTGAATTCCTATGGCAAATGACTTCTCATCAGAAGGAACAGATCTGAAAACGCAGGAAAAAAATGTTACACGAGCAACATCTGCATTTTCCATACCGTTTTATGTGGCAGTGATTAATCACTTCATGAACTCTCACACATTAGGGGGTATAGGACACAGATCAGTGAATGTTGTCCTTGGCTTTTGGTTGCCAATCAAGGAATTAGAGACGGAAAAGCAGTAAAACAAAACAGGAGGTGGAAACGAGGAAGGCGAGGAAACTAACGTGCCAAAACAGAGAGAGACAAAAGCAAGGAAACCTCAGGAGACACCAGGAAACAGCATAAGAAACATAAGAAACAATAACAATAAAAATCTTAATAGAGCCCAAAGCTCAACAAGAAGCTACAGGAATATAACATAGAGCCACTGTCCCAATGCAGTTTTTGCAGGTGAATAAATATCTATATAAAAATTCATAAAAAAAAAAGATAAGTATTTAACAACGTGGACAAGCACACTGTAAAGTGCTACCCGTCAGAGGGTTGTAACTTTGAACTCACCTGAGCACCATCATGTACATGGGGTTGTGCGTTAGGCAGGCGATGAGGGATGCTAGAGCGATGACGATTATGACAGGGTGAAGAAAATGAGAGCAGCCATTCTCACAAGGACCTGGTTTGGCCTTAGTGCTGGCAGTGCAGCTGCAGTTGGTATACTCCTGTATCCAGAGAGAAAGCAGAGATTATATTTTTTATATTATATTTTATATGTTACCTGTTTGTTCTGATATGCATGGTTTTTGTCCTGTCTCGGATTAAGTTATAATCTTTTGTACAGCTTGTAATGCTGTTATGTTTTGGCTGATTGTTGTTTCCCAAAATTAGAACATCAGCAGGTGATTTAAACGTTGAGAAGGTTAAATGGAATGGAGCCAGTTGAAGCAGGGATGACTCATGAACACCTGAGAATGAGAGGAGCCCCCAGGGCAGAGCCAGGACATGCTGGAGAGGATGTCTCCCGGCTGGCTTTGGAACTCCTCAGTGTGCTCCCAGAGGAGACTGAAGAGGTGGTCTGTGCGTTTCTGCTCTTACTGCTGCCCCATGGACCCCATGAATATGGACCCGGATAAACAGCAAATAATACATGGATGAATGAACGCTCTTTCTCACATAAATGTGAAAAGATTATATTTTTTCAAGAGAAAAAACTGCAAGGCTCTGGTTAAAAACAGATCAAATTTCCATTGATATTCCTGATTTAATCAAACTAAAATACATAAAAAGAAACCTGCAAAAATCGGAGACATTTCTCAAGTAGATGTTTGAATTCCACATTCAACTTTGCACTTGTGAACATGTGAATCCACATCAAAGATGAAATAATTATCGCCTGATTACTGAGCATTAATCCATTAAGCTAGCTGCAGCCAGCTCTGTCTGCGTCTGTGCCTCAGTGGTGGGCTTACACGCTGAGTCAAACTGACTAATGTTCGAATAGCGGTCACACAATCCACCCACTGAAGGATTATTCACAAGCTGTGACGTTTAAACGCTGCAGTTTTTTTCTCTATTTTTAAAACAGCTCTCGTTAGTTCTGCGACTAATAAGCATCGATTAGATATTGACTGTGAGTTGCTTTGGTTCTGACTGAGCGAGACTGAGCCTAGACTGGAAGGTACTAGTCAATCAGACACAACATGTCAGTCTTAAACTTAAGTATTAAACTATATCACTACCTCAATATGAAATCCTAAGAACTAAAAGCATTTAAAGCCCTAATTACTTTCCGTTAATCCTTAGCAAATAAACAACCAAACAAAATGCAATGGCTGCCTTACTGTGGCCCTGTGTGGGCACACCCAGTTGGGGTATTACGTGTGGGTTTGCCCTGCCCACAGAGTCCCATAGTTTACCCACAACTACCCACTGTGGGCTCACGCGGACATGTTTGCATGAACACTGAAGATTCAACATCCAGGATCCAAGTAAGAACAGCAACGTCAAAGTGGCTCTGTTTTACTTTCATAATGTTATACTAAAGTTTTAATCTAAGATACACTTTAGAAAAGCCTAATAAACCTTATGGCTTAAAACTATAACTATAAGTTAAAACTATAACCTTATAAGGAAATAGTTACCCTGACGAGTTGATTTTTGCAAAGGCTCTCGATGGCATTTTATTTGTGGTATGGATTCCTTGCAGCACTTTAAGCTCTGAAGTACATTACGCTAATAAAGGTTAATATTTCCCAGAGTGAGCAATTTACAGACGCTGTGCAGGAGCAGGGCCAAATGATTATTCTTTGATCCCATACAGAGAATAAGAAAAGAAAACAATTTTTCCCCCCTCTGCTCTAAAAACAAATTCATTCACTTACACGGCATCCACATCTCATGTGATTACTCTGCACCAGATAATCTCACAGATTGATTTGGATGATTTATGATAGGGTAATTTTTTCCACTTTTATCCGCTCGCCAGTTAAAAATCATACTGTATTTATACAGCTAAAGAAAACATTATAGCTTCACATAACATAAGCCTATTTATTTTAATCAGCCATTGTAAGCAACAGATGCAACAGATGAACAGTAAGCAACAGATGCCACTGACCCGAATCCTGTGGGTGTTGTCGGGGTCTTTGGTGAAGTTCGTGCAGCCAGCGTGGCACGGAGAGATGTACTCAATGCCGTCATAGCTGCACACGGGATTAAAGGTGCTGTTAGGACAGTTGCAGTTTGAATAGCAGCTGGGTGGAGACCTGCGGAGGACAGCAGAGCAGCGAGTTAAAGAAAAAGAAGCAGATATGACTGAAGTTTATTTATAATCCAGTGCTTGAAGGTGAGGGACTGGATCACAGGTCACTACCATCGGTTCTGAAAGGTGATGAGTGCTGGGTGGTGTTCTTGAGAGCAAACTGTGTTTATAATCCCGTGTAGATGTTAGAGCCAAAAAAAAAGAGGAAAACTCTCAGTGTTTCCATCAAGATGATGACTCAGGAAAAAAAAATATTGGTTTAATCTGTCCAATAAAAACAGACTTGGTAATCTTTAAAAAACTGTGATTGCAGCACTTAGACTACTCTGGCATGTAATCCCCATGCACCAACACCACACACAACATATTTAAGGTTGTTTTAGTCCTACACATTTTGCACATACAAATCTGGACAGATTATTTTTGATTTCACATCAGATCCATCTTGATATATGTTGATGAGCAGTATACCTTTATCTTGCTATTAAATGTAATTCATCTCATTATTTTTATTACATTATTTTATTTATTATTTTATTCATTTTTTTTAGCACTTTGAGCTTTACATGTAGCATAAAAGATGTTATACAGATTAATAATATTACTGTTATTTCTATAAACCACACAAACTCACCAAGACTGGCTGTTCTGGAAATGATTGACCTCTGAAACCTTCTGTGTTGAACACCCCATCCAGAACAGAGGGATGTAGAAGAGGGTGGAGATGGTCAGCATCACCACAGAGAAACGTGGGATGGCCTTCAGAGAGAGACCCACCCTTTTCATGATGACCCCGCCAGCCAGCATCCCCACAGCCACAGACGGTAGGTTCACAGAACCTGGGAAACATAAGTTACCGCTAAGTAAAAAAGATGTGAAAATCTCATGATGTCATCTTCCGATGACACCCATGAGCTGAAACCCCCCCCAAGGACTAACTTTCTATATGCTGGATCCCGAGCAGAGCCAGCAAAGCCATGTTCCAGCATAAACTGGAGTGGAATTACATTTTACAACAGCTTGAGTGAAACATTTACAAGTGAACAAAGTATTTCTCAGAAGTCTGAAAAGTTCTCATGTCCAAACTGAGTTGGGACATTTTTTTAGCTTTGACAGCTTTTTAATTTGTATTCTTTTTGTTGAGGCTATAATGACTTCAGAGTGACGTAACTTACAGCCATTATCAGACCTTAAGGCGGACTGACGCTGGCACAAACTTCCAGCAACAACATGCGCGCTGCCAAACATGGATGTGCAATTTGAGTAAAACTGATTTTCTTCAGTGCCATTGGTTTCCTTTATTACCGTTTTGAAAATTCTCCTTGGATAAATGAAGGGTGTGATACAGTACTAGCTTCATGCCAAATGGAGGTGCTTGTTCAGACTCGAACCTGAGATTTTATCAGGGCATACATTTGTTTGCCAACATCCTTACAGACAGAGAGGCCAATTTGTTTAAAATGATGAAAACATTTTCATCAAAGAAAAACTGGCAGCTCGACTGCTTTGGAAAGTTGCCATATCAAAAGTGAACCTACTCACTGCAGAGAATCGATTAAATGATTTTAGCACGCAGTTTAATTTCCACTCTCCAGAGTTCATAAAATGTTTGAAACATCCCATTAAAAGTGTTCATTATTACTTGAAATATTTAACAGCTGACACTGAAACGGCTGCAGTAATCTGAAGAATGAGCCAAATGTGGCCTTTATTGGCCGCTGCAAGAGTCTGTATGAAAGAAATGTGAACCTGAGCGGCGAGAGGATGATACACGGACGCCAAAGAGAGGCAGGACTGAGCACACATCAAATCAAACACAGGTAGTGACCAGAGGCCTGAACACCGAAGCAGGATTTGGACTTATCGGGGTGGCTACAGGGTTAACTCTGTGTTTTCAGTGTTACTATGGCAATTCACTTCTCAGCAGTCTACATCGTCATGGTAACTTATGCTGCAGAGCAGGTCATATTCCAGATTAGGGATAAGGTGCAAAATCACCACTTACTGACCAAACGCTTCTCTGGAAAATAGCATCACCATTCCTGGAAGTCTACGGTTTTCTAAGAGCTCTGGATCTCTCAGGTGCATCAGTAATAATACAGATTCTTAAAAGCAGCCTATTTTGTAGCTTTTTCCCCCATTTCCTGCACTTCTGCCCTACTCGTTGGTGTTGACCTTATTTCATGTAAAGGAATAATAATTTCTCACATGCCTCTCACATTAGCACTATGGGGCAGCGAAGTCTGTTAACTCATGGAGGACATGGGAGAAAAAGTGCAAGCCCACATAAAAGACATGGTCAGCGTATAAACAGGAAAAGATAAGCTACCACTGGGAAGGACAGCGATAGGGAGTCCACTTACAGGAGACATGTAAGGAAAAGCGATAACCAAGTAAAACAGGAAGTTGAACTTAAGTGGACAAATGAACTAACATAGCAACATGAAAGAGGGAGACAAAAATGAAAATAAACATAAGAAGCAAAATAATGTCCAAAAAAAATCAAAGGATAATTTCACCAAATACCAAACGAGATCCTGGAACCATGACATCTTTACTCTGGTACCTACCAAAGAGCAGGTTGGCATATACGGCTGTAGTTGCATACTGTCGCTCCAGATACTTGTTAAGGAACGTAGCAAGCCCTGCAATAACCGACGAGAAGCAGCACTGGGCCAGGACAAGGATCAGGAAAAGAGGGCTCAGCAAGAGGTCGACAAACTTTTTGGGAAAACCTGATCAGACACAGATGCAAATAACTTCAGACACTCTGATTTTTACTCTGGTACCATTTACTTGTTTTTTGTGACAAAGATACACAAAGCTATCAAACTAACAGATCTTTGCAGTTGGAATGTAACAAACTCACTCTTCAGGAAGCCCAGCAAAGAGCCCTCATCTTCTGAGCCAGACTCACTTCGAGTCACCTGGAAAGTATCGAGTAGCATACAACCATCAACCATTATATGCACAATCCCATCAGATGAGAGCATGGCTAGAACCAGTGGTGGAATGTAACAGGACATTTACTCTAGTATTTTATTGAAGCACAGTTTTATTGTACTTGTAATTTAATAAACTCTTTCTATGTTATGCTGCTTTCTACTTCTAACATTTACTTCTACTTCTTGAATATAGCTCATAATATTGATTTAAAAAGCTTTTCTTGATACATAAATCCACATTTTTTACGCTGGCTAATGACGTCCTAAGAAGTTGATTTTATCACATTAGAGTAATGTTTGTAGTTCAGCTGAGACTACAAAACCTATCAGAGGGCATGGCATGAAATGGAAAGCATAGTAAAGTTAATATTTGCATGATCAGGCCACTTGTTAGTCATGTTAATGGTCTGATGGTGCACTATGCAGGTGTTAGAGGGGATTTTGGCAAGTGTGGGAACCCACCTGGAGGTTCTAGTGAAACACTTCAGAATAGAAAATTTAACTCGAATTATAAATGAGCCACCTAATAATTTCTACTCTAAGCTCCAGTGCATGTGCCTTCTTTGTAGACAGATCTTGGTCCTACTGCTACTCTTTCTACATTCTGCGGTGCATTAACAGATGTTGTCTGAGCTCACCAACTCCTGAGCCAGAAAACACCAAAACAACAGGCGCAAAGATAGAATTTGGCACTTGATGCTGAACAACATCATCAGCTTAAATTGTGACGCCTGCCAAATCCTTCTCGAAGAACTGGAACACACTTGTTTGGGCAGCTATTTCGAAGCAACAGCTAAATTAGCTTTCGTTTCAGTGTTCAGTATAGTTTTATCAAACGCTGCTTGCTGAGCAGTCCTTACCTCTGAAAATAATTTCTTATCTTCTTCTCCTGCCCCCTCTGTCATAGATCTTTCTCCATCGTTTTTTTCTCCCTGGGAAATACAGAAGCTGTACCTTTAGCTTGCTGACAGATTGGGTGCCAAATTGCACAAAAAACCCTTTATGTGTTGGCTGATATTTGTTGAGCTGTTTCAAATCACCCAACTGAAATTCCCTGAAACTTAAAAAAAGAAGTTAGTTCATGCTACAGAAAGTATGTTCATTCCTCTCATTCCTCTAGAGGTAGCAGAAGGACCACGAATGCAGCTTTACTGACTTCTTATTGACTTGCAGCATGGATGCATGGCATTGATGAGGAGAACAAAATGACGCTTGCAGGAAAAGACATATGAAGAGGATATATGAAGATATACTAGAGTTAGACATACAGTGATGGGGTTTGGGTATCTGGAACACCTCAGGATCCTTCAAAGAGGATCTTCAAAGTGTAGCTAGGTAGAGGCCAGTCCACCTGATCGGACTTTGGATAAGCAGTTTAATGAATGGATGGATGGGTGAGGCAAAAGAGAACCACTGATAAGATGTCCTAAAGCAGTCAAACATGAGTTTAAGTCCAAAGAGTCTTGCTTATAGATTTCTTTCATTTACTACAGCAGCATTTTTTTTAATGTAGAAAAACCGAGACATACTGTTGCTTCTTAGTTAACCATAATAACCGTTCAGCCATCTAAACTGTTACTTTGTCACTTAAATCCACACATTGTATCCAACACACTCCTAACAGGTGCCAGTAATGAGCCCTGAACTGTCAGTGTCTGAATGGTGTATTTTCATCTTTGTTAAGGGAAAATAAGCAGTTACTCATTACTCACATGTTCAGTGAGTAATGAAGACAGGGACATTTATGGGAGGCAGCGGCACAAATTCAGACATACAGAAGAGCATATGGAGGCTCCAGAGGATGAAAATCTCATGGGTTTGATCTCAATCTTTCGAGGAGCACTTCAAAGTTTCTCTCTCCTTTCATGCGACATTGTCCTACAACATAAGCCTCTGTGTCTTTGTGCTGCATTCGTGTGACGTGGGAACATTAGACTGAACTGACAAGCTCTGCACAGCAGCATTCAAAATCACCCAAAAGCTGTCAAACACTGCAATGAAAAGATTTCTGTGGAGTTTTTGTCTCTCAAAAGAATTCGTTTAGAGCCTGCCCGCTGTTAGTTTGAATCTGCGCAAAAGTTTAAAAGACGCATCATGTGTTTCAGTGGTTCTCAAACCTCTCCCTTATTATCATGTTTTTTATTTGCATAACTCAACATTCATCCATTGCTTATTTATGATTTATACTGGGGGAAAAAGGCTGATGATGACCTGTCAGTCTATTACTGTTTGAAGATTACTTCCACTTTTTGTGTGCAACTTTCAGCTAACCACTTCCCCTCTGTGTCCATCGATAACATTTATGTAATTATGTCTGCTGTTTGCTCATTCCTGTTAACTAAATCAAAAACCGCTGTTGGGAAACTGATGACAGACTGGATTATGAAAGATGCATGTTTTTAAAGGTTTCCAGCAGGGGGCGTCTCCTGTGATTGTAAAGAGAAGTCAAACTATATACAAATCTGTGGGTAAATGGCCAAAGTGCAAACTAGATTTATGACCCCAGGTTGGAGGGCAATTTGCTACCATATGAGTGTCCCCTCAGTTTCACAGTCAGAGGCATCCCTCTGTCCTTGTGTCTGGTTTCAAAACATGCAGAAAACAATCATTTGCTGTGTGAACATGAGAATTCCCGGCAGCTAAGTTAGTTTTAAAAACACAGTCTATGATTACTGGACTAAAAAAAACCCAACACAATAAAAAAAACAGTTCATTAATGAATATTTACCTTAGCATGATTGATGTTTTAAACTGGCACAGTATGTTTTAAAGCTTTAAGCTGTGTCAATGTTGTTCTGTAATTTTCCTGCATATGGTTTTATATTTTAGGAAAGAATTATTGTAAAAAAGACTTTTCTACGTCACAAGAGCTCACTAGAAGTTCTAATTTTTTCTAATAACTGTATTTTGGCCCACTTGAACTTCATTGTTTTTAAGTCAGTCAAGTTAAAGCTGGAAGTGAAACTGTGGTTTCACGAAAAATGAGGGGGCATGCACTTCCTCCTTATCTAGTCATAGATAAGCATAGTTAAGCTAAAACTTATCTAATATTTTTCTTAAAGCATTTCACAAGCGCAGATTTGTATGTGAAATCGCTCCACTGAGGTCACCAAGACTGAAACTGTGCCTTAAATAGTGAAAAACTGAAAGAAAAACAAGAACAAAAAACAACCTGCAGAACTTACATTAAGCCAGCAGAGGTCAGTCAAATGTGACATAGAGAATATTGTCCTTTAAGTGTCAGATCCCTGTTTGCTTCCAATATTTACAGTTACATTATGGATGCTTCTTGTGGACTGCACAGTCCTGACATGTGCTCTGCTGTTTAAAAGACTTCTATAAGAGCAAGGCTTACGTGGTCTTGTGAAGCCATGGTACGCGGGAAGAAGAAGTAGGGGATAGAGGTGAGAACAAGGCAGCCGGTAGAGATGAGCAGGCCCATCCACCAGGCACCGATCCAGCGAGGATCGTCGGGTCTGAGTTGGAGCGCAGCTTCTCCTGGAATTATCGGTGAAAAACGCCGTAAGACATCCATACCTCTTTAACCCAATCAAATGACTTCCAGACTCAGCTTTACCCAAATCTTTTTTGTTCACGTCCACATAGACCCGCAGCATGACTGAGCCCAGCAGGTAGCCGATGGCAGGCCCGAATACAGAAACTGCAAACAGGATGGCTGTGAATGATAAGAGATGGCAGGCTGTGATGGACCGTTGAGCTGCAGCCAGTCAAATACCTTACCATTTTAAAAAGATTGTATTTTTCCTCTAAAGCCTCCAAACTGATTCTAAAAGACTCCAGCTTTAACCTCCAAGCTATTTTCGCAAGTGGGGTCATTTTTGTACAATATTTCATACGGGAATATTTTTTTAAACGGTTCCATCTGTATTTATCCTTCATTCATAACAGATATTCTCAAATATTCCATGGAAAAACGGGGGTTAACCTGACTTATCTCTGTGAATCATGCTGTTATAAACATCACTTTGGGGAGTACATTTCTGACTCAAGGCTTCTGCAGGAATAAATCTTGATATTCAAGGTCTGTTAGCCACAGTTTGATGCAAAGCAATAAAGCATGAGATTTAAAGGGGAAAATTAGAAATCAAAGCTAATTTTCTTGCAAACAGACATATTTCATCTTTATCTTTATAGGATCTTTATCACAAAGATTTTGAATGACAGCCATGTTTTTCCTTAAACTCATTGTTGGAAGAATTAACACTTCTACTGATGACTCGAGTCTACTTGACAGCGTCGACGAGCAGTACTTTAAAATCTAAGCAGCAGCTGGTTTCTGAACACTTCAGTGATCTGATATCATCCTCTAAGCTGTCTGTAGACAGAGTGATGACTTTAGTTTTCAGTTTCACCAACACAAAATACTCGTACTTTCACTCCTTGTGTTTGTATATTTATCAGGGGTTTTTTTTCACACGAAACCCTGCTAAATAATTCAGTTTAATGTGGTCCCATCAATCTTTGAACTGCAGGTCATTCACCTATGTAGAGAGGGGAATTTGCAGGCCCAGCAAAATCATCAATGTAGGAAATCCCATAGGGCTGGATGGGCACTGATCCGACACCAAAGAGCAGCTGAGCGCTGGCCATGAGCAGCCACAGGTTGTTGGTGTCGGTCAGACGTCTCGTTTCATCACGGTTGCACGACTGTGTGCTGTTTGAGGTGCTCTGCAGGTTGCACATTTCGTGGCGATCTGGTATCAACACACACACACACACAGGGTAGAAAACAAGGAAAATTATAGTTAAAAACAGGCCAGAAGACACAGACGTACTACTTATTTCATTTCCTGGAGCTTCTCTGACCCTCCGCTGACACTCTGTATGACTTTAACTGGGGGCAAAGCGAAAAGGAAGAAGAACATTGTTATTGCAAATGAAATGCCCCAGAGGTAATTGTAATCTTCTTAGCTTTCAGAGAGTGCACAGAGATTATGAATTTCCTCCTGATTTATGCAAAAGTTCAATTGGGGAGCACCAGCAAGGCTTTCCAAACACATGCTAAAGAACACAGAGGACCAAACAGCAGAAACTTGTTTGACTCCCACTGAGTCCTATGGAGCCTTTGTTAGAGGATGCTGCAACTCTTAAGTAAAGCCTCATAAGTCTTTTGGACATATTTGTACACTTGTAATCCCCCTCAGCTCTGGACAGAGTCACAGGAGGGCAGTGTCAGCGGAGACAGAGCAGCAATGTGTTTATAGCTTCATCTTACTATGTAAAACAGAGCCGTATTCATACGGCTGAGACAGGAAGTGAGGCAAAGTCAGCATCATGGCACTGATGGCCATCAGCAGTCCACCGACGCCGATGATGCGAGGACGGTGGACCCGATTCCCAAAGTAGCTCACGAACACAATCAGTATGCTGTTACTGATCTAAGAGACAGAGAAAAAAGTCAGAGAGGAGCCAGAGGAAGCACCACACCTAATGCATTAAACTCAGGGTGTCACTGTTGTGCAACGCTGCATCACTTGGTGCAATCTAGCACAATTCAGAGGTAATTTAAGGATCCATAATTAGATGTCACTTTAATCTGTATTTGCATTTCATTTATCCAAATTGTGGTCGTTTCTGCTGAATCTTTTGCACACAACTTGTATAGCACTGTAAGTGCAGTTGGTGCAGTTCAAAGTGCTTCATGGGGGAAAGCAACATTTAAAACACGTGTGTGCAGTTTGTTTGTTGTGTTTTCCTCCCTGTCACTTCCTGTGTCTACTGTGCTGTTCCCTAAGCTTGCCTCTTACTCTGCACACTGATTTCCAGGAATGCTGAAGCTATTCTCTGCTGCAGGAGATGATTGGTCGGTATGGGGTCATTTTGTCTTATTTTGATCTCTTATCTTTTGGCATTGTACTCCGATAAGAAGCAAACAACATTAGTAACACAATGTTAAACCTGAAGCTGCCTCACTAAGCCCCTGACCCTACCTCGTAATCCAGATTTCTGGAGACAGAAACAATCACAACAGTAAAGCTCCATGTAACTGAGAGGAAGTGCAGAGCTGGGTGATAATTGTCTGGATTTATCACTTTAATGAGACTACACATTACACATAATCTTTTGATCTGGCGTTACTGAGAAAATATCCATCAGAGCAGCCTTAAAGAAACCATAAGAAGAAAAGCTAAAGTCATTCTTCATGGAGTATCGCCACAGACAGAAAAATGCAGTTTATTTGTGACTGTCTTTGACAAACAGAAAACATTTATATGTGTGTGAAACATTTAAAGCTCACTGGAGTATAAAAAACCCCCCAGAGTGACCTCTGCGCCGAGCGCGTACAGAAACAATCTCTCATCACTCCTGACGCCTGCATTTGCAATAAAACTGTTCCAAAATACTCGAGTCCCACTCGGATTGTCAGGAAGTGTGATTTTGATTTGTTGCTTGCACTTCAGTTCCTCCTTTGTCATCGGTATCCTTGAAATAAAGCTATCATGAGCCTACACTGGATGAGGGTAAGTTATTGTTGGCTCCCACCTCGTGCAGAGAGGAAATGGTTCCCGAGGAGTAGCTGCTGAGGCCGTAGCGTCTCTCGATTGTGCTGATGGTGCTCTTGAAGTAGGCGCTGTACAGCAGCTGGGACAACTGCAGGAGGCCGTGGCAGAGCACGAACAGCTAGGACACAGAAGACAGGTCTTTTTATTCTTTCGGTTATGTTCGTGAAATAGTGGAGTGTGGAAATATGCAGGAGGAAAGACAAAATGTGCAGCAATGGGGGATCTGTAGCTGAAACAGGGTGAAGTCATAAATGTCAGCCGTGTCAGCTACTCTGTAGCAGTTTCAGCTGGCACCATTACAAAAAGCCTAAAATAATTAGTCTTAGAGGATTAAATTGTTTTTAAGAACACAGAACAATTCAGAGGAAACACATTTTCAAAAAGGCATCTCCACTTTGAGTACAAACTCATCTGCACCGCATTCCTTAAACTCCTTTCCAAGTATTACACAAGGCTTCAGGCATACCAACTAAAGACTTTGCAGACAGTTAGCCTTTTTCTGCAGGTAAAAGTTTGTGTTTTCTAACCTAAGAGCAAAAAACAGGTTATATTTTTAACATCAGTTAAAAAGTTTATTATATACAGTCAAACATATGGCCTGCCAAAGCTCCCAGTCCTGGTTACTGGATGGTTTTTGTAAAACGCGAAAAATTGCAAAGAAGAAGGGATTAAGCTGTGAATCAGATTCATTATATGAATTACAAAAGCATCACATGCGGCAATGTAAATACGGTATAGTTTTTTTTTAAAGAACATTAAAATTATTGAAAATGTCCTGGAATGAGATCCAAGCCTTCACATCATTTTCTCAAAGTTTTAATTTCTATACTGTGGTTAAAGCCTGAGGAGCAGAATCTACTAAAAATGTATAATAATGTTTTCTGCTTTGTTTTTAAAAAGTTATTATGCATTTGTTTTACTCCACTAAATGAGGTTGTAATGAGGTATGAGTTTCTAAGTTTTAGGTTTCTTAATGATTCCTAGAAATCAAAAGTAAAGTTGCCAGACTCATGATTTGATTTTTTTCTGGAAAACGGCATGTCTGCACTGCAAAAGCAGTAATGCATTAGCTCCAGAGCACAGATCCAAAAGAGGAATGAAATCACTTATCCGGTGACAACATTTTGGGATCATTTCAGGAAAACCGCTTCATACTGCGTCTCCATCTGGTTGTGGAATTTGTCTTCCAAGACTTTCTCTTCACACCCAGACCAGAGTCGCCCCCTGGATGGACTCCCAGTGATCTGAAAGACGAGTGACTTGCTTCTCTGTGTCTCAGAAGGCTTTCACAGACGCACTGCTTACTTTTTGCTCCGGGGGCCATGGATACTGCATTGAAGATACATGTTAAGATTAGCGGTGAATTTACTATGAAAACAATGATAAATCCCAGCTTTCAGCGTGTTTACCAGCTGCCAGCTCGTCTGAGGGAGAATAAACTCTGCATTCGCCTCAGAACAGTTAATGCTCCTATTAAAGTGTGGCTTTATGGTTGGTTAGCACACACAATGGATCCTTTTACACGGCTGATAATATTTCATCTTCATTTTCTGTCAAATAGGCTTCAATTACCTAAGTGATTTGACAGCACCTATCTGCACAGGCAGGCAAAAAACTTCTTTTGACCAAATTAAAATGTTTCAGGTCAACTTTGACCTCATTTTGCCATTTTAACAAAGTCAAATTAAAACAAATGCAAGAGTCAGATCTCTGGTTCTGTGCAGGAAGCAAGTCTACCAGAAGCAACATTTAATCTTCAGTTATTGGAATGCCAAAAAATTAAAGACATGTCCAGTTAATCCTGATGAAGCAGTGTTGCATTCTTTTTAAACCATTATATGATATGCATCACAATTTCAACTTCTTCTGTAGATTATTTTTGGGGGAAAGGAAAAGCGGGGGGGCAGGTGTTTGTTTCTTTTTTTTTTCTTGTCAAATTCTGTTCTGACTGGAGACAAACAGAGGGTCAGCTGTACTGATGACAGTTTTAACACACAAATGTACACAGACCAGAGAAAACCAGCTTAAGCAGAGATTTATATATAAAACCCAGCCAGTGGGAAAGTTTGGGGACAGACAGAGAGAAGTAAGCACAGTAATGACCCTACAGTTTTAGACAATCCCCTATGAACAGCATTCGGTGAGAGTGAGAAGGAAGAACTCCCCTTTCACAGGAAGAGACCAACGCCACCAAGCTCAGGGTTTATGGTCATTTTTTAAACAGGTTAAAATGGCATGAGACCTCATAGATGTGGTTAGCTTTAAGGATGATATTTTTTGACTGCAACTGTGTTTAGAAAAACAAAGACGTGCTTTTTTTTGGCATTAAATATCAACACAATCAGCATTTAATTAAATGTGGCAAATGTTTGTGCACTCAATTTCAATATTCTCATCCCTGTACTTAGAGAAAGCCTAGAGAAGCAACTTACGGTGGCCCTGAGAGGCCAAACGGACTGCAACTTAAGAAAACACCAGGAATAAGAAAAAACGCTGCAAAAGCACACAAAACACAACGGAAATAGGAAAAACGACAATGGAAATAGGAAAAAAAGAGATTTCCAAAAACACAAGGGAAGTGTTTCTGGGGAGACAATAACCCGACGGATCAGTTGCAGGAACCAAAATATGCTAAGAATTGCGCTGGGAGACAATTAAAAGAAGTGGAGGATCTGTCTGTTTTGTGAGGAAAGAAAAGATGAGAGGTAAGTGTGTTAGCCTAACTATTAGCCTAAAAATCTGTAATCAGTATATGAAAATCATGATAAAACACACCTAGCATGTTTCTAACTGGTCCGTCCAGTTATTGTCTCCCCAGAAACACTTCACTTGTGCTTTTGGAAGAAAATTTTATTTTCCTATTTCTGTTTTCGTTTTTCGTATTTCCGTCGTGTTTGTTGTGCTATTGCAGCGTTTTTCTTATTGCTGGTGTTTTCTTAAGTTGCAGTCCGTCTGGCCTCTCAGGGCCACCGTAGCAACTCCTTTACATGCGCAACAAGGTCAGTCTTGTCACTGTCAAGGGTTAGGGTTAGGGATATGTCGATATATTTTACTTTAATGCCAAATCGCATGTTTGGCACAATACATTAGCAAATCTGTCCCATAAAGAGCAGATAGTAAAATAAAGGTAAAGAAATCAGGCATTTGCTCACGTGAGGAGAAGAAAAGGTTGGACAAAGTCTTTTCAACATGTGGTTTAAATGACAGATTCTGATCTGTATGTTTAAATGCATGGACATGGCTTTTTTGCGAATTAAAAAAAAAACAACTTAGATTTTCCTCCATTCAACTGTGTAAATTGGAAGGATTGTTCTACTGAAAGGGAAAAGAGCAGATAATTGTGTCAGCTACATAAAAAATTAATTAAACTAAAAAAAACTGCTGTTTGTTAAAAGGGAAACTTTTTTTTACAAACTTTAAGTATTTGGATTCTCTGAGCATTATTCATTTACTTCTCCTTTTTGAACACTTTTAGCTCTCTATGATTGGAGGTCATTGTCCCAACCTTCAACCCTGCTGTGAAGGGAAGAATTGAGGGAAGTTCACTCTTGAATTCCAAAAGCTTTTATTTTCATGGACACGGGTTGTGGTTATTTTGTTCTTATATGTGTTCTAGTCAAAAAAAAAAAAAAAAAGAGAGAGAAAAAAAGGGGGAAATAAAAGGAAAAAAGTGCTTGAAATGTGTACAAACTCTCTGAGGATACTTAAAAGAAAGTATGTGCACAGGTCACCTCCCCTTATTGTCAAACAAACATAAAACAGATTTTCTGCACAATAGCATCGTGAACAAAGGAGCGCTGACATTTAAAGCAGTTCTGAAAAATGTGCTTATTCTCCAGTTGAGTAAGACTGATATATTACTCATATATCAGTTTGTTAAATATACTGGAATGATGCATTCAGGAGATGGTTTAACATTTTCAAAACCGCACATTCAGCGCTGACTGCCCGAGCCTCGAGTTTTAGGCCGCGCTTCAAATTGTGCACCAATCCAAGAAGTAGACTAGTGCACAGCCTCCTTAAAACCTGTGAATACCAATGGCTGTATAAAAGATACTTGCATGTTAAAATGCCAAACTTTATACGGTAGTATAAATGAACACGGTTCAGGTTCAATTGATATTTCCCCCCTTTAAAACAACACCATAGCTCTCCTAGGATTTTATTAAATTTATTAATTAGATTAATTAGCAGGTGATGTTCCAATACAGTCCCTGAGTTCTGATTCTTTAAAATTTTAAATATTTAATGTCAAAATTAAGAAACTGAATGTTTCATTTATTGCGAATGGTTGCAGTACCTTCGCAGCCCACAAGGGGGCAAATGAAAAAAAAACTTCGGTATTTCACCTTACAGCAGAGGTGTGCAACTCCAGGCCTCAAGGGCCAGTGTCCTGCAGGTTTTAGATGCATCCTTGATCCAACAAAGCTGATTGTCTCAACATGTCTTGAAGTTCTCCAGAGGCTTGTTAATGAACTAGTTATTTGATTCAGGGTGATATATAAAACTAACAAGACACCGGCCCTTGAGGCCTGGATTTGGACACGCCTGCCTTATCGTTTAGAGCTTATTGCGACGACTGCTGTCGTTATTTGGAACTACTTTCAAAAAACCGTATTGAAGTACCAGTATATGTGCCAATATGGCCATTTTTACTCTCTAGAAAACACTCGGCTGCTCTCTGGTGTTCACCTGCGTTTGCAGTTTGTGCTAATCTGAGCACAGCATCTGTCTGCAGTAGACATGGCAGCTGTGCTTATCTTCTCACCATACCCTGATAAAGAAATACAATGCGATTTGACTGTGACTCAGCCACAGAGGCGAGCCTCATGCTCAGATGCAGTGAGGCTTTCCAATGCTTCTTATGCTCCTGATCATGATGTAAACACTACATGCCCCTGTGCAGAAACTTGGCCCAAACGCTGGCAGAGCTATCCTTAAAGAGAGGTTGACTGTGTCACCTGGGTGTAGACTCCAGGTGTAGCTCAAGAGGACCTAAGAAAACAAGCAGAATGTGCTCTTGAAGCTGAACAAATAGAGAGCGGAGCGTGGTGCAAATTGTAGCGGTATCAAGGAAAGATGGATGGATGTGATTGCTTCGTGTGAAGCCTTTGTTGACCGGAGAACAAAGAGCACAGCTTTATAACTTTTTAGTCATTTGATGTTAGACTGGAGGACAACAGCTATTCAAAGCTCTGGCGGTACAGTCTGACCGAAAAGGCTGCAGGAATGATTTAGAAACAGCTTTCTGACAAATGGCTTGCTGTTCCACTCATGCTGAACTGCTCCCATTGTCTAAACATAACACTGGACACCTTTGAAGTCCAGGTGCATTCTCACAAATTTCACTGTGTAGTCTCAGGATGATGTGAAGACACCTGCAGGACGAGTCTCGCTGTTTCACTGTCCTCCATCCTGCTTATGTTTGCTTGGCTTCAGCGGAGGAGGGCTTTAAAGTGAAGATAAACAGGGAAAGATTTGCAGCGGCCGGACCCACCACAGGCGACGTGAGAACATCGAAGGTAAACACTCAGAAGATTCCAAACTCAAATAAACGCTCTCCCTCTGGAAAGCTAAGAAACTTCCTCCACCCCCCCAGGCTTCCGAAACCTATTACTCATATGTGTCACTCACACGGTGAAGAAGAGGAGTCATTTCTCTTAGAGTTTTGAAAGCAACCACCAGTGTTTGCATTAATATTACTCACAACTCAAGAACAAACTGTTTTCCTCCCATTACTGCCGTAAAGGGAAGAACAACTGCTCCTTTTGGCACACGTTCAGGCAACAATTCTCCTTCAAGTCAGTGCTTTGAGTCTTTTAATAGCAGAGCCAAAACACATAACAAAACTGGAGCTGGATGCGGATCCCGAACACATAAAACTGCTGTCAAAAGGGATCAAATGAAGTTATTAGTAATGGAAAAACAAAGTTGTCAGCATTCTCTTCTGTCAGGAATTTATCTGAAGCAGAAACATGATGAAATTTCCACAACAAGGATCCGATTAGCAAGTGAGAGAGGAAAAAAAAAAAGAGCTTGTGCTCAAGGCGCTAAAACTGCTTCCCAAAGTTTGGATGACTGAGTGACAATCAAACAGCAACCTCTGAGCCAACAAAGGCCTTATATGCTTTAGTTTAGTCTTTGCAGTTCCTCTAGTGTCCACTAGAGGCTTCAAAAGTGAGCCAATCCTCAATAAAACCCCATGTTAAAACTTTACAGCAGATATAAACATGTTTACAGTCTGCTACAAGAAACTGTTTTAATCTCTGCATTGAGTTTTTTCCCCATTTTAAAGCATCACAGAAGCATTTTTCATTGTTTCCATGATGGCGTCATTTTTCAGCCCCAGAGGTTCGCCTTTGGTGAGAAACACAGGCGGCCATGATGCCTCCTAGGCGTCACCTCACCAAACTGGCGTCCCTGAACTGGCCCTGTGGGCTGTGTTTGTGCTGTGGGGGTTTCTTTTGGAGCACTTTTAATGGAATCAATGCCTGTTAGCTTCATCTAATAATCTGGCTGTGGCAACACAGTAACTTCCAGCTCCAAACCCCCCCCCCCAAAAACACAACAACAAAAAGAAAAACACAATATAGTGGCCAAAACTTGTGTACTTTAAAAAAAATGTATTTGTTGCTAAAATGTGAAATAATTATTGGCCCATAGTTCCCACGTTGCTGCCAGTCTGTTCCAGTATTGACGCCCCTTGATGCTCTTTTACCAGTAAATCATGATTTCATCCCAATCTAAAACCTCATTTCCACTAAATAGAATTGTGACATCTCAAAATTGCTCACAACAAAGTTGGACTCGGTTAGGTCAATGGCTCTTCCAGTTACTACCACAAATAAGAATTGACTGACAGATGCAACCACCGTGGTTCATCCCAACTTCTGCTGCTTTATTTCTATATTTTTAATAATAATGACAAAACAAGCAAATAAGGTGCTGAAGCATCTAAAATGTGGAAGTTCAAAACTAATGGGTGATTTCCAAAAGCTGCATCCATCATTTACATACAAAAGGCTGCAGTATCCTGTACTATAAGTGAATAAAGAAAGGTTAGTGCTTCATTTCTTTTCCATATGAAAGGATGGAGAGCTGCTGTCAGCCCCTGGTCCTCACTTTGAGAATTTAAATTAGTCAAAGCTGAACATTTGTCTTTGCTTCTGCAGGTAAACCAAACCTAATTTTACTTTTTAATTGCTTTTTAATCGCTGAGTAATCTTTTTAGTTTTCCCTCCACACACCTTTCATTTAATAATCTGTGCTTGATTCTTCTGACCGTGGAGAGGTCCACACAAAGCCTCCTGGGAATGTTTCAGGTTCAGTTCATTATTTTCAGTTGTGTTCTTTGTTACATTTCATCCATGTTGAGTTTAGACTCTGACTGTTGTGAATGTGTGATGTGGTTTTGGATCAGCAGTAACATCTGGACTTAAGGCAAGTGTGTGTCTGTACATGTTTACATAGCTATGTGAGGACAGATAAATTGTAAGTTTACTATACTTGTGGGGACCAACAGTTGCTTATGAGGACAAAGTGCCCGTCCCCACAAGTTTGAGGGCATTTTTGAGGCTCAAAATGTGGTTTTAGGGTCAGGGTTACAGTCACAGTTAGGTTATGTTTAGGTTTAGGCTAAGGATTAGGGTTTGGCATTCATTTGGGATGTTTAGGGTAAGTGGCTAGGGGAAGCATTATGTCAATTAGATGTCCTCACTAAGATATGAAAACGAGTGCGTGTGTGTGCGTGCGTTTGCGCGCGCGTGTTTTAAAGGTTGTTTAAATTCTCAGTCTCTGTCAAACATTACACTGTAAAACACTCAGATTTAATTTATGCAGAATTTGATGAACTGCTTGAAAACATTAAATAAGAAATTTTGAAGCCTTTGACTTCAGTGTGTAATGCTACCTTGGGTTGCTTGAAAGGTGCTTCATAAATGAGTTATTATTAATATTATTAAGAATAACATCCTTAACTAAAGCCAAAAAAAAATAAAAATCTTTAGTCTGACCATCTTAAGGTGGATCTTTGCTTGAACCTGTCAATAAACTTCGTGAAGTGAATTAAACTTAAATGATTTGCAGTTGATGAATTAAAGTCCCCCCAAAACTTTGTAAAAATATAAATTCATATAATATCAGACTTATACATCTAAAACTCCAAAGCTCCCTCTTTTAACAACCTATCAAAATATATATATCCAAATGAAAAAAGGGATTTTTTAAAAAATTTATTTATCGCTAAACATTTTTTACACGTTTGATTTAAAACGGAGTCCTTTAAGGTTTTCATTCTGAACTAGATGAAAGTGCCTAAAATTAGAAAGCTTATTTAATTTATAATTAATTAATATAATGCATCTTTTACATTAGTGGTATTAATACATTTACTCACAGTAAACAAGTCTGTAACTGAGACTTTGCACTTTACCGTGTTGGATTCCTCATCGTTAACCTCCCAAAGTGAAAAGGGAGAAAAATGTTTGATTTATAATTACAAAAATTTAAATCCCTTCCTGCCTTGGAAATAACATTTGATTTTGGCGGGGGTGAACTTCAGTTTGTGCGGAAAGATTAGAAACACGTTAATTAAGATGAAAGCGGCAAGTTGTTCCCTGCAGGTCACCTCCAGCATCATCAGCCCAAGCAGCAAACACCGCATTTAAATCTGATTTCAATTAGCTCAGATTGATTTTTTTTATTATTATTATTATTATTATTATTATTTTAGCTAACAAGAGACTTATGATCACATTATGACCGATTTTATCTTGTTTATCTCAGGTGAAGCTCGGTTTGCGCTTAGGCAATCCTACCCAGAGGGCAAAATCCTCAAGTTATGGAGGGAAAAAGGTGAAATGCCCTCAGATTAAACCTCCACATTTATGTGGCTCATTATGTTTGCCGCGGTAAGGTGCGGCTGCTTTCATGCACCCACAGGTGGGTCCACTGAACTCAGTGGAGAACAAAGTGGAACGCTCCCCTTGAAGCCGAAGTAGAAACTCAGTTTGTGTGCATAAAGTCGCGCACACCTCTAGGATAAATGCGCACACGCTGCGTCCTCTGCGCAGTGCCAGCCGGTGTCTCACCTTTATGCTGCAGCGGAGCGTCCTGGGCTTCTTCGCGTCTCTGCGCAGATTCGCGTCCATCGCTTCGGCTCGGGGCTCCACAGTGAGCAGAAAGGCTTCCTCTCCAGGTTTCATGTTTGCGTCCTCCCCCCGCTGCTGTGTGCGCTCTCTTTTCTTTTCTTCTTTTTTATGCCCGTCGCTGATGATGTAACTGGACTCAGCCCACGGCTCCACGCGTAAATGTTTTGAAACTTGTGAAAAGGGAACAGGTCTGAGTCACGGGGCGCAGCGCTCACCTGTGACAGTTGAACTGTTTGTTAAAGAGCGGAGTCCCCGGTGTTACTCACCGCGTTATTCACACGCAGACGGGCTCTAATGTGAGCAGGAGTGTTTGTCAAGTATCCAGCGAGCCCCGTATTGTTCTCCAGCAGCTCATTACGCGCGGTATGCGCCACTCAGAGCTGTTTTCTGTCCCGAGCTAATGAGCAGAGAGGGAAGCAGGGAGAGAGACTAATGAACGAAGCCGTTTAGAGGTCAGTGTTTCCCCACAATAAATGTTTAACAGCGTGTTGATTTATTCACGTGGATTTTTACGCGGTGCAGAGAAGCTGCAAACAATTCCAACAGCTGAGATCCTGCAGACAACAGAGGTCACAATCACCTTAACGTTTCCGTGAAGGAAACTTACCCGCTGGAGTTTGGAAAACGCGTTTAAACACTGCTCACCTTTACCAGCATCCCCCAAAGAGCCACAAAACCACGTGGATGATTAACTTTTCTGTTCTCACAGTAAAGAAACGAATTTTCATCACTTTGTCCTCAAACTGTAGGTCTGTGATCCCCCCAGGCAGCACTCGTTAGTGTTTTGGATAGTCTAAATGAGTGCTTCTTAAACTTTCCACTTTGGAATAAAAAATAAAAAATAAAAAAAAAGGATTCAAGGTGAATGGTAGTGTTTAATGGGGTGTTTCCGGGCTTTTTTGTCAAAGTTTGGCTGGACAAGAACAAGATGAGTTGATGGGGTTAGCACAGGAAATCTGAATATTTCTTCAGAATTATAAAAAAGTGGGGAAAGCAGGTGTAGAGAATACTGGGCCTGTGTCCAGCCATGTGTCCTCAGACAGATGTTTGATGTGCAGAGCTGCTGAACATCGATTCTTATTGAATGAACATGATCTATTACAAAGTTAGAGAGAAGTTTTTAGACTGTCTTCCTCCTGGGACCCAGACTCTGGTGGGGGTGCAGCAGAAAACTGCAGAAGAGAATCACTCTCAAGCTGAGTAAGATTTCAGTTTGGTACCAGTGCTCAATCTAGAAGGGATTCCACACATTTCCACTAAAAACACCACAACATCACAAACAGATCCTCAGATCCTGTCCACCATGATTTTCTTCCGACGGAGATTACCCAACTTCTCGTATCCGCAAGGAAATGGCAATGGACTTGTCCTTATATAGCACTTTTCCACTCTGTATGAACACTCAAACATGCCTTATTGACCTATTCGTTTTCTCCTACACCTTTTTAATATTCACACGCGACCATACTCCAATCGATGTATCAGATAGCAACTCAAGGATACTTAGACATGCTGACTGAAGACTGGAGCCGCCACTTTCTGCTTGGTAGATAACCTGCCTCCTGAGAGGTAGAGCAGGTCTTTCCAAGAGATCAATATCTGTTCTCTTTCAGTTCTTTGAACAAGGTGGAGCTGCGCTCTCTTATCTGGATATCTAAACATGCTCTGCAGAGACATTTGGACTTTGGACGTGAGCAAGTCTGAAAAACATCAGCCATGATCCAGACTTTGCACTGTTATAAAGCTGTCTGCAAACACACTAGTAAGGAAATTTATTGCGTCAAACACTGCAGGAGTTTTTACATATGCATATCAGTTAACCACAGAAATGACTTATTTTCCACCTCACTGCTCCACATGTAAAGGAATTTAATGCAACTCCTCCACGAATCAACACCTTATCAGTGGGGGAGCTGTTTAAGTGGCCGAGTGATCTCAGGAATTATATTTTTTTTGTGGGCAATTTTTCTCAGGGACCAAATAACTTTAAATAACTAGTGGGACCCCACCGTGAAGAAAGGCCCAAGTTTTTGTCTACATGTTGATATCCGAATCCTCTTCTAGCTGAGACTAAAAGGAGGCAGGTCACATATTATACCCTGTTCACTGACGTGTCCCACATGGAGAAGGCTTACCCAGAATGCAGTTCAAGTGTTCGCCTGTGAGTTATCAGAAAACAGATCAAACATCCATGTTATCAATGCCTTAAACTGCTGCAGGTTGTTGAAATCATGATATATCCCATGATGCTGATGCTCAAAGGCGGTTTTAGAGAAACAAAATCACATGGAGGAAAAAAAACAAAAACAAAAACAACAGGTTTTGGTTTCAGACTGTGACGCTTGGAGTGGGTGTACAAGTAAACTGTTGGTGGCTTTTAGTGAAGCTGAAATGTGTGGAAATGTGTGGAAAATGTGTGCAAAGTATGTAAAGTCAGTGGAAACGGAGTGACAGCAATGAAGATGAGTCAAACTGGAAGCTCAAACTGGGCCCAGTTCCCAGAAACAGGATTACAGAGCTGCCTGGCGGTTCTCAGTGAATTAAACCCAGAAACCCCCGCAGACAGGAACTTCGAAAGCCAGAAACTCTCTAAACTCTGCCGTACTGTGACACAAGAGTCTGCTGCTGAGGATGCAGGAGTGTTTGCTCAATGCGTCCTGTGGCCGCGTTACAGTGCGCTCTGCTGTGCCTGCAGCTGGTGAGGAAAGTAGAAAAACTGAAAGAGTGGCTTCACTGTGACACAATCTGAAAGCCACCGATGACTGAGCACATTCTGAAAATATGTCAGGTTCAAGCTTCACTGAAATACCACAATGTGACGCCACATGCCTGACATCCAGCTGATTTACTCAAAACAAATAAGGCCGCGGTGATGATGTCTCCATTCTGGAGAACTTGTCTCTGAGTTTTAGTGAAATCGTTGAGATTTTAGTTCTTGTTTTCATTTTGTTATTTTAGTTTCTGCACCGTTTCTCTAGCTGTGCCTCCCAATCCTCCCAATCCCAAGAAATGTAACTGCACGTCACCGTCAACGCAGCCCGCATTGACAAGTGCTGACAGCAGCTACACTTCTGCAGGCCGAATTAGTCCCTTCTGTGTCACTCAGTCTCTCTTATTGTGCTTGGTGTGAGCAGTTTTGTCTCTGTGTTTAGCCTGTCCTCACATCTTGTGGTTTTGACTTCCCGATTGTCTTCACCTGTGTCTTAAGGGGAAATTGTGGTTTAAGCGGTGGTACTGTGTTGGCAGCCAGTCGACCTGCAGAAAGCGTCTGTTGTCAGATGGAGGCAGTGGTTAAAAAGTGTATTACAACAGGTCCGTGGTCTGTGGGCTACTCTTGATCCATCAACCAGCTTCAGTGAAGAAAGTTCTAGAAAAAGCTGAAGTGAAACTGACGGTTAACAAAATGAAAAGCGTCCACTGCAGCGACCGTCTGTGTGTTTCATTCTGCATTTATTCTTTTGCTTTTTAAAGAACTTATTTTTACATTGCACTCAAAGTAATCCTGCTCAACAAAATAGAGCAACTTCAAGGTCCAAAAAAATTGCACTACGGTATATTTCTTCACGTCAAGGTACATGCATATGCAAGTAGGGGTGAGGTGGGCCACGAGTTTGAGACTGCTGCTTTAGACCACAGGTGTCGGACTCTAGGCCTCGAGGGCCGATGTCCTGCAGGTTTTAGGTGTGTCCTTGATCCAACGCAGCTGATTTAAATCGCTACCTCCTCAACATGCCTTGGGGTTCTCCAGAAGCCTGTTAATGAACTAATCATTTGATTTAGGCATGTTGACCCAGGGTGAGATCTAAAACCTGCAGGACACCGGCCCTAGAGGCCTGGAGTCCGACACCCCTGCTCTAGAGAGTGCACAGGTGCAGGTTTGCAGTGGTTGAAAACTCATCTCTAGACAAAAAGCTCCACAAAAAGACACAATCTGGTTCTAAATGAAGAACTATCCCTCATCAGTCTGTGTGTAAACATCTTCGCGATCCTCTGCCTCCATCTCCCCACAACCACCCTCTGCATCAGACCTTCTCCATCAACATTCTCAAAGCAAACATCCATCTGCGAAGCTCTGCTCACTGATCTTCTTTATATTGTTGCAGGTCTGGTGTGTGTCTGTATCTATTTTAGGCCTTTTGGCAGCTTCGAACAAATTTAAACAAACTTCAGCAATCTGTTTCCCTCAGTACTGCACTTTTCTTACCTGCTATCAATTATTTTTACAGCCTGTGGGCCACAGATATAATTGATAGCATTTAGGTTTGGAGGGACTTGTAAGCAAGGGGATTTAGGGACTCAAAACAAATTAGATTTGACATAACTTTCCATTACGACATCCTAAAGAAGTGTGGCGTTCATGTGACTTTAGCCTAAAGCCGAAACAAAACCAAATGACGTAAAACAATGAAGCACAGAAGTCATCTCTGGTGCTAAAGCTCTCCATGTTTTAGAATCTGGATCTTCTTTCCATATCTAAAGCGTTGTCCAAAATATGTTTTTTTTTCCAGCATCGTCTTTCTCTGCCAAGCATGTGCACGCACGACGAATTCGAGTCCGTTTTTTGCTTCTCTCAATGAACTTAAACAGTAATGCAGCAGACATACAGCAGAGCTGGAAACACAAAGCTCAAAGTCAAATCTGCCTCATGGGCTTTCACAGAGTGTGTAGCAAACAATATCCTCTATTCTTAGTGCTTCAGCATGGACAGGAACCAATGTAGATTACTGGGCTTACTGGAAACATGGATGTAAGTTGCAACATCAACTGGCTGGCAAAGGGATAAAAGATGTCCGGTGCAGAATCGTCTGACATAAAACAATGAAGCATAGAAAAGAAAGAATGCACAGTGAGTAATGCAGACACTAGGAGATGATTCGCTGTAGTTGGTGTCTTTAGATACAGTTAGGTTTCCCCCCCACTGTGGCTGTGACTTTTGGGGAACTACAGAAAACAAGCTTTGGATGAAGAGAAAAAAAAAGACAAGAACGGGGTAATATATTCAAAAGATTCCATTTAATTTGTGGATATGAAATTGGGAAGCAGTTTACAACCTTATCTCAACATGCAGTGACCATAAAAACAAAACAAACAAAAAAAACCACATCATAAAGATAGTGGAAGGATACGATGAGACCAAGCTGGCGTGTGTGTTCACAGTGATTAAATCAAAATGAGTCGAGCAGTCGTGTGAAGAGCTGCGATCTCACACCGAACAATGCACCTCAAAAAACACACTGTACACAGAAGATGGACGTAGTAAATGACTTGTTCTGTGGGTGGAGAAGAACCGCTGGCAGCGAGTGACACTTGTGAGACATTTTCGTAAACCTTGTGCCAAAACTAAAGGCATCCAAATGCGTTTGCAGCCATGTGTGGAACATTTAATGCAAATATTTGATCGGTTGTGGTTTAAGGTGACACGGCTGACTTGGTGCTGTAGAAAACATGAGCGGTGATTTATAGAAGACCTTCCAGACTCCGCCTTAAATAAATGAACAATAAGGTAACAAAGACTTGCTCCATCATCACACTGTAACCACAGAGATATCATGTGGTTCAAAAGCTGAGCTCAGTTTGTGTTCAGGCCACAAAATGACCCGTTACTGTTGTGTTGAATTTTTCTTTATTAAAGATTTTTAAGCTCTGGAAAGCCGCCTGATGAGTCGCTCACTAAAGCCGAATGCTTTCTTCAGTCCGGTCTGTTCGCTTCGTGGCTTGTAACATGAGAGGTTCTCTTCTGCGATGGATAAAATTCACAGCCTCATTTTCACATTTCTGCTCCGATGTCTGTTTTTTTTTTTTTTTAGAACTTGTTCTGATGATCTTGTTTTCTTTCACTTGTTTCTGATATTTTTCTGCCACCAGAATGTGCACAAAACCACAAAAGCCTCTGTATAACGGCCGCACTGTTATATCGGCCGTTGTCTCCTTGCCAAACATCGTACAACAAAAGTGACGTCACAGCTTCGGTGTCGATTCAGACCATGACTACACTGTCAGTGAGCTGATACCAAATGTCTCAGTCTAATCCACCCCCCCGAACACGTCACATCTGGTTTCAAGACAGCAAGACCATGGGTGATGTCACAGCGCCTACACCAATCTTTTATGTATATATAGTCTACTGTACTTCAGTAAGAAGCAGATGCATCCCACAGATTCTGTCCGCCATGATTTATGTCCCTCTGACATCAATCCATCTTCGAACGTTGGTTCTCAGACGCTTCGATCTGATGGTGTTGGCGAGAACGCTCCACTCGATGCTTCACTAACCAACTGGTCACATCACATCCACCTTTTACACACACACACACACATACACACACACACACTCTGTGGCTCTGACAGCGGAAATAAAAAGTACAAGAGGAAGACAGCAGTGACGTTGAAATAATAAGTGTCCACGTGTAAAAATCAGGTTTATACAGATAGCTCTGCAGAGCTGATGTTCCAGCTGTGGTGTCCACATGTCTTTATACACGCTGCTGGCATAGGAAAAAAATTGGTGTGACGTCTCTGTTGAGTGCGCTCCAGTAAAGGAAACTCATCCACGGCAGAGAAAACGCTGTACCATTTGCAGAGAAATCATTTCAACAGATCTGCCTCTCGTACCGAGCCTGAGCGGAGCAGCGTGCCCGAGAAGATTATGGTTACTGAAGCTCTCTGGTCCACTTTGGTACCTAACTCATTCTGCTGTGGAGTTATTTACACCCAAAACAAATCTAAAATTTGCACAACATTACAGAATCTGTAGAAAATACTGCAGAAGCTTAAATTGTTCTTTTAAAAAGTCGCTCAATGGCACAAAAAGTCCTCATCTTTTCGTTCTTCGGGTCCTCTTTGCGTGTGGAGATCGTCGATCGTCGCCTTTTCTAGATGCTTTCAAAGCAAATGGAACAATATTGAACACAGAGTCGTTTTACTTTGCTATGCTGTAAAAAGGTAATTTAACTATATAAAAACTCCAAAAGAACTGTACAAAACAAAAGCATCGGGCACAAGTCTGCTCATCTTTCATGTGATAAGGCACGATTTCAAATGTGCATTCCTCGTGAAAAGTGTCCGCCAGCCTTTAGTGTCGTTGCTTTAATGGATTAGTAGAAGAAGAAGTGCCACCCACTGCTTTCACACGTAAGCACCCAACGCTGCGTGAAACTCTGTGAGACACTGGACCAGCTGCTGAAACTTGGGCCTCTCCTCGGGGTCCAAGGCCCAGCAACAAGCCATCACTGCAAACCTGCAACACAGAGAAGGATCGGGTCAAAGTTCACAGAGGAGTCATGTCTGAAAACACCTCACAGATCATTTGAAAATTGGGCCTCCCAGCTTAGACTGGCACTGCCTAAACCTAAACAAGCAGATATCCTGGGAAAGTGTAATGCATCCATTCGCTGACCTTTCCAACTTTTAAAAAAGTGGAAAATCTTTGAATCAACAGCTATGGAAAAAAAAAGAAGAAGGAGAAATTCATGTCCAGGAACACAAATGAATACATGCTGTGACATCATGGGGGTGCTCTTGAAGCTCCGTAAGTGTAAATAAAATGAAAGTGAATAAATTGTTATTTTTATAAGAGAAAAACTGGATTTAAAGGCAGCGTTCATCTAGTATTATACTGCAACTGCTGTATTGTCTTGAACCAGGAGCTGCCTGTGCAGTGCTGATAGAAATGCGTGAGATATAATTACCTCTATCAGCGCACGGCCTCGATTACATAAGCCCTAGTATTGTGGTAAAGGAAGCCATCGCCTCAACATCTATTGTATTTGCAAGGAAACAGTTTTTTGATGACTTAAAAGATTTCAGGTAATCAGATCCTGAGTTTCCTTTAATCATCGAGAATTGCACATTTCTGTGGGGATTTGACACGAGTTTGTTTTCTTTAAATGCCTCTGCGCTGGGATGGCGGCGCTCCGAGGAATTAGTGTAAAAGTAATATCCGAGGAGCACCTGGAGGGAGTTTCATCAAATCTGCACTCATCAATTAATTGGAACTTGGTGGTTAAAAGCCAAACTTAAGAAGACACTTATAAACACACTGGTTATGGCAACATTTAAGACAAATGATCAAGTCCACACAGTCACCGGTGAAAAATTAAATGCCATAACACAGGAACCAAAGGGAAGAGCGTTACTGTATTTCACATTTAGTCAGATCCTGATGTAGTGAAGTAATCTCTGATGCTAAAGCTCTCCATGTTTTAGAATCTGCATCTTCTTTCCATATCTAAAGCACTGTCTGATAACTGCTCGGCTCCATGTGATTTTTTAGCATTGTCTTTCTTTGCCAAGCATGTGCACGCATGACGAATTTCAGTCTGTTTTTCGTTTCTCTCAATGAACTTAAACAGTAATGCAGCAGACATACAGCAGAGCTGGAACAACAAAGCTCAACAAAGTCAAGATAAATGTGTGTTTATCAAAAATCTGCCTCATGGGCTTTCAGTCTGTGCCGCAAACAATATCCTCTATTCTTAGTACTTCAGCACAGACAGGAACCAATGTAGATTACTGGACTTAATGGAAACATGCATGTAAGTTGCAATGTCAACTGGTTGGCAAAGGGATAAAAGGTGTAAAATCTGTCAAATCCAGCCAGTCTTTTTGTTTTCTTTCATCAAAATACCCCAGATTTTGACATGCTTTAATACTGATCTTGTGTGGACTCTTTTTGATGAATGTGGAGGATGACCTTCTTCTCTCTTTTCTGTTTTCAGAGATTGTTGGGAATGGAAAGTATAACTTTTGCAGGTTTAAGTACACCCCGAAGACAGAAATACCACGAGAATTTGTCAGGCATGGCACAAACACATTTCTGCTTCTCCCAAGTCAGCTTCCAGCAAGTGTTAATTTTCACCAAACACTAAATATCCATGCACTGCCAGGGCTGCTTTGAGCTTCCTCACCACAAACCTGTTTTGGGGGATCAGATGGTAAATACTACTGCAGTGATGCCAAAAAATTAAACCAGTGGGACAACATTGCCTCTTCTTCTTGACAGCCTGATGGAGTTAAACTTTGCATCAATCAAAGCTAGTAGCAGCTGAACAGTTTGATTCGACTCAGGTCCTCAAACAATATGTCAACAAGCAGCTCATTTATTGTGCCGACAGTCTCCAATAACAAGCTTCACTGCAGCTGAAAATGCACTCTTCACTGCAGACTTACAGATGTGACAAATTAAAGGAAAAGCCAGTATGAAAACAGTCTTCCAGTGGAAGATATTCACTTATTTGGTGCTCAAATAAAATAAACAGAATGGCGCTTTATTGTCAATGTACTGTGCAGAAGGGTTAGGGTCAGGAATAAACAGCAAACAGAACAGATATACAGCCAAGGGGAATATATACAAACTAGAGGAATATATACAAAACAACAGAAAGGCACACATTGCAGAGGAAAGTGTTTGGAAACAGTGCAAAAGGACTTGGTCTGCGTTTCGAGTATTCGCATCAAAGGTGATGACCTTTACTGAACTTTGCACTGATCTGCAGTGACGCTTCTCTTTAAAATGAAAAAGAGAAACACTCTTTTCCACTGTCTGTGGACAGTGATGATTTGCCACGCTTTCCAGAATATTGTTGCACCGTTACCAGTCTGTTGTGGAAAAACATTGTGGGGTTTTTTTCTTTCTCTTAAAAATTATGAAACACTTTAACTGTAAACAACTACTGCTTTAAAGTAGGCAAACTGACCTTTTGACCTTTTAGTGTTAAGATGACAACATTCACTGAGTCATCCGGTCTCAGATTTGTGCTGAAAAGCTAGCGCATACATTTATTACTGCTAGGTTGCACTGCTCTCAGCCTACAGTAATATGGAGTTCTTGAGGCGATCAAGTGGCACTATATACATGAAACTAGAGCTGGGCGATAGAACGATAACAATATGTTAGAGCTGGGCGATAGAACGATAATGATATGTATCGCGATATAACTTTTTCTCGATAGAAAAGTTAAACTATCGCGATAGACCTCGCCGCTCTTGTCCTCTTAAAAACAAAAAACAAAAAAAACAGCCAATCCAAATTACGTAGCGCAGAGCTGAACCAATCACAGCCGCAGCGTCACGTCACGTGACTTGTTACGTACAGCACAAGTGCCAAGCCGCACATGTGTATTTGTTTGGGAAGCAGCCAGCCACCGTACCGCCCGGGTAATTAAGGAAAAGAGTGAGCCGACTAGAAAAATCAACCGAGCGTGACCGAAGGTTACCGAAGAGAAAACAGATGATGGTTCCAGTGCCGGAGAGATTGTCGAACGGAAGAGCCATAGAAGCTCCGTAGTGTGAAGGTATTTCGGCTATTTCAAGTCTGACAAAAACAGAGTAAATTGTGCCGAAAGCAAGTCTGGAAATACAATAAACTGGTGCATGCGCTACGTCCACACATACCCGG